GTGCTGGCACTATTCGTAAATTCATAATTTATTGCCAATAATCTTCAAAAATCGATAGCTGATAACTCTACACAAAATAATATCCAATAAATGTCTGCATTAATGTTTACTCCACCTACCTTTTGCTTGATTTGAAGTTGCAAGCCATAAGTTGTTCTACTATATTTTGTATAAAATATGGCCTGGAGAAAGAGCGTTAAAAGGCCAAGTGATAATAACTGAGGACAGTGGAGATTATAAGTAATTTTTAAGTAAAACAACACATTCGACTTTAATTCTCGGTTAAAAATTTAGGATTAGCGTTAATCTCTTCATTATCCAATGCTCGGATCGACCACTTTTACGATAAAAAAGAATTATCGAAACCGGTTCACGTGGTCCAAAGTTATGCGGTAACATACCTTAAAAAAAATATTCCGACGAATTGATAATCTACTAATAATTTTTTTTAAGTCGGTTAAAAATAAGGTCCTCCTTGAGCTCCCCCTAAATAATATCGGGCCCTAACCGCCAAAATGCAGATGCAGAAATATTTCGAGAGCATCTCGATCGCCGTTTAAAAAACCGCGTATCGTTATTGTGCTTTATAAAAAAGAGAACCATTTTGAAATATGAGTGTTTTTGTCTCTAGAAAATAATTTATGCAACCTCACAAACGCGGTTTTGCATTTTGTTGATACGCGGTTTTTTACTTTAAACGACGAGGTGCATTTCTGCATCAAAAAGAAAACTATTAAGAAAATGTCGCTTACGTTATTTTGGAGGTTATAGTTCGATATGAGAACGCATGCACAGGCAAGGCTCGGGGCCAATTGGAGTGATGACGCCACCTCTGTTGCAAGACAGTCCCGGGAGTTTAACAGTCTATCAAGAACTAAAAATGATTTGATTTTATATGCTAATAAAGTTATGAGCGGCTACTGGCGAACACTTAGACTTAAGATCTTATGATTCCGGTATCTTCTATGTATAATTAGCACCGAACAAATATAGATGGCAAGAACATCCACTTGAAAAATTCCGGCATACTCGGCGGAGGGAATAAAACACTAAATCCGCCAATGGACAGCTAATCGCTATCTCTATCGCAGCCATTGGACACGCGCAGGGAGACTCAGTGGTGTTGTCTTCGGAGGTCACTCAACTGCTAGCGGTCTAGGGCCTGATGCCTATTCAGGTTCCGAAATAGAGGCGCGAATATCTGACTCGATCAGGGAAAAGAGAGCTCTAGATACTCTTGGCTACCTGACCGGCGTTCCTACTTCGGATCAATGTAAACAGTCAACTCCTGGAAGTAGTAAAGCAACTGTGCAGATTGTCGTGATAGCCTTCATTGATATTATGAAGTCGAAGGATGCTCGACAGTTTCAGCTGAAAGTCACTACTGGCGAAAAAAGTGTGGTATCTGCAGGTGCCAAGGGAAAGGGTGTTTCGTCCAACAGTCGTAGTAATTTATACAATAAGCAGCTTATGAGCTAAGGTCTTATACCGGCTCTCTGCTTGAATCATGGTTTAATTTATGACCGGGTTGGGCATTCGATCCCTAGATTTCAGCGGTTGTAGCTGATGTAAAAATTATCCCAGCATTCGCCTGCTTTCCAAGTGACGTCAACACTTGAACTGTCTGTTTAAGATTGGCTTTGATTCTAAAGCCCAATATACCTACCCTGCAAAAAACTCGACTAATCCGGGATGACTCCGAGAGCAATCGCAAAGGAACATGCGACTAATACCACTTTTGATCTCGAGTCGAGCCTAATTGATCCCCATGACTAATTAATGCCCAATTGTACCTATTTGAGAGTAATCTCGGAATACTCTCTTTAGAGATTAGTCGCACAATTTGTTGCAGGGTAGCGTAGCAGCTCCGAGATCAATGAAATGAGTGAGTACCATTTAGAATATCTTCTACAAACTTTTACTTTAAATACCGTCGTTATGGAGGAGGTATTTGATGCTACTCTGTGCAGGAGAAAAAAGCTCTGAATTTATATGGAACTGGCCAG